ACTCTGTTCATTACAGCGGGATTGTCATTCAGATCAACCAGTGTCCTAGTCGATGAGATGTCAGCCACGTTTGAATTTGTATTTGTGTATTTGTAATATACGGATTTGGCAATTTATCGTCTGCCTTATGGATCACTTAGCTAAACCTGACTGGCTGGATAATTTATCAGCGATATGAAGGCTTTGCAAGCACAGTGCAGATTGCACTGAACATAGTACTTCGACGATGAAGCGTCATGTGATTTTCAGGTTTTATGCCAAAAAAAGTTTTTTAGCCCTCCGGTATACTGGCATGAACATAAAACTGGGCAGCGCCGCTTGCGGTTGTCATAGTCTGTGTGCATGAATTTTATCAGTGATAGGTAAACTTCGTAACAACACAGAGCTTGTCAGAGTAGTATGTCGTGCATTCTCTTGTCAGTTTTTTTTCTAAGAGACATTTATCCATTTATGACTTTTATCAGTTGCTAGACTCCTGTATACTTTCATGATCTGCATTGGGAGTGATTCGTGCAACCAATGCTTCGCGAACTTAATAGATTGTAAATTCAGCCTGAGAAACCTCATGCTTTTTTCCTGTACAGTACTGGAAAATACTAACTGCATTGTAGTTACATGGTATATAATTATTTTCTCATGGCAGTTGCATGTCGCGCGCTGATAATGATTCGATGGTATGTCCGATAATCACATAGGCAATTTTTATGGGTAGGCAAGTAAGTCTCTTAAAATATACTGTCTTATCTTTCGCATGTTGCGCGTTTAGCCCGTAGGTTATATATTAAACTGAAGATATAATTGCACCTTTCGACTGTCAGTAGTTTAATCTTTTCTGGGAGAAGGCAATTTCTGGGGATTCTCTTGCCTGGAACTACCAATGCATATAGTATTGCAAGAATCTCATATTTTGTGCTTCTCTGCCCCTGAAATCTATCTTCACTAAGCGTAGAATTGTTTCCTGCAGTTTATTTTTACCGTATATGTTACTGTTAAGTGAAAGGAGTCATAAGAAATCCTGAAGAAAGTGATGACTGTATAGGTGAAACAGAAGCTACAGTTGAAAATGACGAGTGTCAAGATATTACTTTCGTTGACATATATGCTTCGTCAGTTACAGAAGGCATTAAGGTTATCGCAGCTGGAGGTGCGTCGTTGCATGAGTAAGTTACTTCGATTTTAAATTTGTCTCCATGTGACAGGAAAATTAGTTATGGACAAGTAGAACATGGTAAGGAACTCGATCTCAAGCTGAAAATATTTCAAATGATCAATAAATACTAATCTGGCTTAAGCTGATCCATATCAAAGAGTCGTTCATCAGTTCGTATTCTAATGTGCATGTGTAATAGAATCATTTCAGATGATGGTTTAAACTAACAGAATTTTTTTCAATCTCCTATAATAGGTTATGCATGGTGCCAGAAAACAGAAAAGTTTATCGTAAGATACCAGATTTACATGGCTAAAACCATACAGTAAAGTTAGTTTACAGCGAGTGTTAGATGGATGGCAGTAGTTACTCGAGGTCATGAATCTTATTCGTCTTGCAATATCGCAATGTCGCTGCAAAATAATGAAGTTTAGGTCACTTCTTGCTCTGCAAATCCGGTAGCAGTAGCTAGAGGATTGCATTTAAAGACGAAATTGGAAGACGGTCGTTCCTGGTTGTTGCTTCAGAACACCGGGGTATATTTTCTTTTTTCTGCATTGGCATAACATGTTCCATGGTTTCGTTATGTGCCTATGAAAGTCTTAGTGCTCTCCGAAATGGTTGGAAATGGATC